GGTGCTCCAGGGTCAATGAGGTATACAATTTGTCCTGAAACAGATATCAGCTATACACAGCACTTTTACTATTATGAGCACTTGAAATGAAACAAAGTCTGCCCCTTCACAGGCTATAGTCTTACACTGAGCACTTAAATAAAAAAAAAAGATATTTCCCTTTCAGTTTCATTTAAAGATCTTTAGATGCATGAAGAGGTCAAAGTATCCAGTTTCCAGTAAGACAAAATAAATGTAATTTTGTCTGTCTGTACGCGCCTCTTGTGGGATCCCAAATCCCAGTTTGGGAACCACTGTTAGGCGACAGCCCTGTGTCATGTTTATATTGTGATTATAGAGACTTCTACTAATAATAAAATCATTCATTACTTGATTAGTGTTTTAAAACTGAGCCACTAAATAAGCCAAAATAAACTTAGTAAGATGTATTACTGTCCTTCCGTCACTCCAGTGGATTGCAGAGTTACGTATGTGCCAAGAAAAACTGAATAGTCAAACAAGCTTGTGTCCGAACTGTGGTGTGGGATACAATAACGGCAACCCTAATCTTGACAGTCTATTTACATTTCAGACTAAATCTATCATACAATCTACCGACCAAATTAAATAACTTTCTCCAGTTATGTTTGAATAATAGATGGTGCAACAGATGATGTTTGCTTAGATTTCAGCTATCAGAGCTCTTATTAGTGTTTATTGCCAAAAGAGAACACTTTTATTTGGAATGAGCTTTAAAATGAGGCCCTAATTGCCAAGACATTTAATCACCATATAAGGCAGCAGGGTGAGTCTGGGATTCCTGACATAAACCTCTATGAACACAAGGAACAATTGCCTGCTCATGTAAAACACAAGGATTACAAATTATGCCTTTTTGGATACGAGTGTGTTGTGTTGACTTGAAACCAGCAGCCAAACACTTGATATGATAATACAGTGATACATTTATTATTCACTAAATGATACAAAGCAATCATTTTAAAGAAAGATGTATTACAGAGACTTATTGTAATTACTATTACCCATCACTCTTTGACACATTCTCTGCCCAAATAAGGGATTAAAGTTCCACTGCAGGTCAGACTAAAACAAAATGAACTGGTGTGCATTTGAAAAAAGTCTGATAATACTATAGTGGGGTAGTATGAGGTAACACAGTGACTGTAAACCAGTTTTAGGGCCACAGTAGAAAAAAATGGTTGAAAACAACAAAACAAAACCAAAAAAAAGGAAGGTATTTCACATCCTTTGCGATTTTCACACACATCAGATGTTGATTTAATGCCATTTATAATGTAGAAGGACATTGGTGAAAAGTACAAGAGATGAGGTAGTATCCAGAGGCTCTAAACTGAAAAAAATCAAGGAAAAAAACAAAAACAAAAAAAAAAACATTTCATTTTATGATAGAGACAAAAACTGATTACTCACCTCCTCAACACTACAGGGTAAAACCACACGGCTGCAAAAGAGAGAGAAGCTTGGTATCATTCATTCAATATTAAACCGCCAGGAGCATTACAATTTTACTTTAATTCAAAGCGAGCAAGCTTAAGTATAACATTACCACCAAAAATAACTTTACATTCAAGGAAGGTGCAGAAAAACATGCCTCATCATAATTTTCAGATCCAATTAGTGATCCAAAATGTGTAAATTTTTGAAAATGAATAACAAATTAATCAATACAACAAAAACACATTGATACTGCAAATGCATAAAACCAATCATTGAAAACATTAACTCTCCATAACTAGAAAGAAGAAACTTGTTTTTCGATGCATCAAGACATCTATATGCAATGACATCAATAGACAAAAAATGCATTATATTAATAATGACTATGACGTGTCAATTGTCTGTCACTCTCCACACAGTATGAAGCAAAAATGAAAAACCAGTGCAGAAGAAGCCGTTTTGCTGTCATGCGCACTACACCGTGGCATTATAGATAACCTCCACAATGCACACAAACCTTCTGACCGCTAAAGAACAGGAAGCTGGTTGTTGGCCACTCTTCCTGAGGAAAAAACTACTACTGGCTAGTTCGACACACTGCTGACTTCAGCAAGAGAGGCGGAAACCATCACTGGCCCAGAGTGGAAAAGTAAGACCTGAATGGAGCCAAGACTGAATATAGCTACGAGATGTCCAATTAAAAGAGGTGTGAGAAAGGGAGACACGAGATATACAAACATCTTTACTCAATGCGTACTAAAAGTACACTGAAACTTTTTTTCTTTCTATCCCAGTAGAAGTCTTCTTCAGGGTGTGGTATGCTGCACTCAAAGCAATTGCAACATTTACCCCGATGTACATGATGCTTCTTGCAGTCACCACTAACCACACGGTGCCAGAGAATGAAAAAAACCAAACAAAAAAACATGGCAGGCAGAGGAAGTTCTCTCAAAATATAAATCTAAAGCAAGGCTTTATTCAAACACAGACACACACTCACTTTGTTTTCAATCCACACACTCTTTGAAATAGATAATGAGCTGTCGCAAACCATGACAATAAGAATTTACATTTTGTACAGAATTGACACTACTTTATTAACTTGTATTGAAATAAGGTTAATCTTCACAATGACACCCAGTGACAGACAGGGTGTTTTTTCACTCCAGGCTGCTATGATGAGACCAATGACATCTGTAAAAGGCAAGGATTCCTAATGTGTGATAATGTCTTCATCACAATCAAAGGGCACAGAGGCACATCGTGATAGTTCTCCAGTTTGAGGAATGACCTGGACAGAGTATAGTGAGTACATGCAGTTTTTAAATTGTTTTAAAAGGATGTATGTAATTTGCAGTAACACATTAGAGGAACACTACATGATTGTGGATACAATCTGTTGACACTTAGTATAGTTGACCAGTGGCCCCTTGCCCTAGTTATGCCAATTTTAGAAATGTCATTGTGATTTTCTACTTAGCACACAGGTGATGGAATTAAACCCATGCACAGCAGAAGTTTCTAAACATGTTAAAAGTAATATGTATGGCATGACACATTGAGATAACATGGTTTTACATAACTCTAATCGGTATTTTGACAGAGTTCCTAGATTTGTGTGCAGAATTAAACCCAGACTCATCAACCATCTACCCTAATATCAAAATAAACCACAGGGTATTAAAAATAAATGTAGGGACCTAAGAAATACCAATTAGACCTAATATACAATCATGTTCCTAAATAGAAACACAGTATGGACAGAGCAAAGTTGTAGAAGAGTCAGATCAAAAAAACTAGATATACATGACCCACACAATAACACTAATCTAACACTAATGAAGTTAGTTCATATTTCTCTATATTGGAGTCTGGTTTGTATACTATAGCTATTAAGCTTCTGTTTATTATGATGACAAACAACTTCTACTCTTACTTGTTAAACTCCTGTGACGTTCCTGTGCCACAGAATTTACAGCATTTAAATGACTTAGAAATTTAATCTGAGTAGGAGACACAAAAACAATATTTTAACTCTTACATTAAAATAAGACATGTTCATCAAATACACACATCTGTTCATCCCTATGAAAAGTAATTTTGTAACAGACTTACTGATGGACCCAAAGTTACAAACAAGCGTCCTTTTATTTTTAGGTCCAGCAGACAAAAATTGGCAATAGTTTTCATAAGTGGAAACATATTTCTTTATAGGCTTACGGCTAGTTTACAGCTGTGATATTTTTCCAATTGACAATGGCTTTCATGTCAACACGAGCATCTTTTGATCCAACTTCATGACTCATACACCTATCAGCTAAGTTAGCTAGCCTAACTTAAATACTACTACCGCTAGCTAGTTCTAAGCTCTAAACAGCTTGGTTTGACACACATACACACAAAAAAACAACCAGCGAATTCGCTTATTAGTCAAAGTCTTTTATCTTGAGTAAGATTAGCTGGCGCCAGAACGGGTTTATGTATCAATGTTGCTAAGATAACATTAGCAGCGCTAGGTGATTCCGCATTCAGGTTATACCGTTAGGTTAGCTAGCATTAGCAAATCGTGAGCTAATTCGTAGCTCAAGTTAGTTGGGAGCTGTACAGCTTGAACGCACAAATGTCGGTGCGCATATCTTTTAAAACCATAACATAAACCATAGTCTGAAGTGTTCAAAAGTCAGCTGCTTAACGTGAACGCATGAGAGACTGTGAGATTATAGCAGCTGTCATACAGAGCCGTGTTGCTGTCAACGCCGGTAGGCCACAGCAGCTCTTGAGCAATCCCACCCTTCCCTCGTGTGTCTGACACACACACACTGAGGCGAGATGAAAAGTTTTCATCAGTGTCCTACCACTGAAAAAAACACCCTGCCCAAACGAATCTGTAACTAAACGACGCTGTGGTTTCAAAATGATAAAAACAGAAGAGCGTATACGGTAACATAGCACTTACTACTCCTTGATGAGGACCATCGTAGCTCGCTCCTCTCGACACCACTGGCGCTGCCCAGCTACCGCTGATTGCTACTGACGTCATGAGCTGCTAAGAGCAGCGCCCGGTCCCTCCCTCGTAAGCGGTGATTTGCAGAAGGAGGCACAGACGAACCTGCTAATTAGTTTCAACCAATAAAGTTTCTCTCTGCTGGTTTTTAACCCGCCCATTGTACAGCTGCTCTGATCATGCCAGTTATTCAGCACATCAACTTAAAACCACATCATTTGTTAAGACGGTGTTATTTCAGATTTATTTGGGAAGCAATAGAAAAAAAACCTTTAATAATAAGGACTTCCAAACATTTTTGCTTGTGCCACCTCATAACACTGTTGTGGACATGAATTGTGAGTAGCTCAGCCAAAGACATATTCTTTTCTTCTCAGACTGTTGCACTTGAAGAATTTTCAGAAGCCTAAAAAAGGTGAACAAAACAGACAAAGTAAAGTTACTATTGTGTGAAAGAAATATATGGCTGTCACACAGTGGTGCCAAATGACAAAATAATATAAAGTGAGGAATACAAGAAAGCAGACATGATGTTTTTTTATTGAAACTGTTTACTGATAAATGACAGATGGTTGTCATGAAACTTTCATGTTTAATCTCAAAAAATCATGGGCTAAAAAGTCATACATGGTACTTAACATTGAATAGCAAGAGAATCCATGCTTCAGAGGAGACAGTCAATTCACAAAGAAATCAGGCAAAATGCCCTTTTGATTTCAATAAAAAATATTAAATCTTTTTTTTCCCACTCTATCCATCTTTACATGGTACAGGTTTGTTCACTTTTTAATAATATAAAAACGCTTAATACTGATTGTGAAACACTGGAATTAATTTACAAAACATAATAATAATTATTATAATATTAATAACAATAACAAACAATAATAACAATAACCATTAACTTTAGAGAAAATCAGTCATAGCTGTTGCATCTTGGCCCACACAAACAGCAAAGTTTTGGGGGAAAAATACCAAATGGCATTTACATCTACCTGACACACAGTTACACACAAACACAGTATCAGGTCGTTGAGTATTTCTCATTGCCATTTACAGTGTTATGGGCACAAAGACAAGACATCCTCTAAAGCATTCATGTGCCTCTGCAGGATCACACTCACTGACCAATCAAATCTTCTCACTGTCAGTCAAACTTGGTGGACCAATAGTGGTCTTCAAAAAGTGCCCTACTCCTCCAGCACACAGGATAGTAAATGACAGGTAAAAGTATAGGACCGTTTGAAATGTCTCAGCATTTAGAGGAAGGGAAAAATCTTCCAGGCGACAGGAACTTGTATCCATTGCCAGCAGGTAGTCGGATAGAACGAGCACCAGGGCTACTGCTTGTGGAAATAGTAGGTGACGGGGCCACTTTTCTGGTGTTGGAGCAGTGGTGTCCATTGGAAGAGTTCTTGCTGCCCCTGTCCAGTGACTGCAGCCCCAGCTCCCGCAGCTCCAGGCTGTCTTGGGTATCATGAGGGGAGCAATGGCGTGGGGAGAGGTTCAGAAGGCTCAGTACATCCCTACTGGCAGAAGCGAGGGGTCCAGGAGCACTGTGGACTGCTTTGACAGGACCTAGATGTTGCTGCTGCTGCTGAGCTGCAGCATTAGCCCAAAAGGTCTTCAGATTGTGGATCGCTTGGACTTTTTCATCAATGACCCCTCTTCTTAGTCGGTCCAAGTCTGGAGCATCAGCTGATGTAGAGCAGGCAGAGCCGGTAGAGGAGTAGGAGAGGGCAGGGGATGGAGCACTACCAGCCGGGGACTGGTGACCAGAACTGGGAGACACATTACTTGGGGAACGAGAGATGTGGCCGCTATATGGGGAGCTTGGGTACTTCAATTTGAACTGTGCATGGCTGTCCAGAGTGGGTGAAGGATGGCTGCCTTCCTTTTGGGAAGACTCAGAGACTGCAGGACTATTGTAGCCAGAGCTTATCTTCTGCAGTGAGGAGGAACGTGAGGGAGGTTTGGGTCTTGGGGAAGACTGAGCTCGGCCACTAGCACTGCTGTTAGGACGGCTGAAAGCGCTAGTTTCAGAAGAGCGGAAGGCGCTGCTCCGAGCTGAAGTTCCTCCAGCTGTCCCACCCTCTGCCCCCGCTCGCTGAAGACTACCCACAGCCCGTAGATGGCTCTGAGTCTCCTCCAGAATCTTCTGGGCCAGCTCCTGAGGATCCAGAGGGACAGTTTTTTCTTCCTGAGACTTGACAGTACTGTCGGTCTCTGTACTAGACTGGTCAGATTCACCTGTATCTGAACTGCTCACCTTACCCACCTTCTGGAATGGTGAGTTTGGGCTGGGCACCAGGCATGTTTTGACAGGAGATGTGGGGGTGCTGACACTGCCCCTCGATGATACTGATACAGTGTAGCCTCTCCCTGCTCCTGTGCTAGACCCGCCGACAACCCCCCTGCCGCCACGGTGATGGCGCTGGCTGTGGCCTGGCGGCAGAGGCAGGGAGTCACAGTGACTTCCTAGCGGCTCGCTGCTGATAATGGAAAAACCCTCATATTCCTCCTCGTCCCCCCGGGCTCCTGCCACTGCAGCAGCTGCCCCATGAGGTGAGGAACGACTACGGGGAACATGAGGGTGTTTGTGGACAGAGTAGTGTGCTGTGGCCCCAGTGCGTCGACCAAGGAAGTCACAGTCTGATTTGGAGGCAAAGCTCATGGAGGAGGCTACAGAGCTGAGGCTATAGACAGAGATGGCATCTGATGCCTGATTGTCCAGGCAAGGAGGAGAGAAGGGAAGACTTGAATATCCCATGGGCAGGGGGTTGGACACAGACTGGGCAGAAGCTAGAGACTCGAGGGAAGATGAGCTGTCCAGGCTCAGACGCTTGGGCAGTTCTGTGGAGTCTGTAGAAAGAGAGGGATGTAGAGTCAAGCGACTGAAAATATTCAGAAGAAGAATTGATACAACAAACATGAGCAAATCAGTGTACTTACCAAACAGCGCCAGCAGAGACTGGAGAGCAAAGTGCAAGGTGCGGCGGTTGGCTAGCTTGCCTGTCTTCAGCACCACCTCTTCTTGGCCTACCTCACATAAGTCAAATCCTGCACACACCCAAAAGGACAACAGTTGTAACTTAGAAATTTATCAAGGTGTCATTGTGTCTGTGAGTCCACAGGGACACAAGGATGCATGCTGGGTGAGAAGTTGGAGTAGTTTCCTTAGGTAACAGTTGACTCACCAAGAGCGGCCAGAAATTCATGGCATCCTGGCAGTCTCCATAGCTGCACACTGATGGACACCTGAATGGGCAAGAGGGAGAAATCCTGTTCTTTCTCTCCTGTCTGGAGTTGGACTAGCACCTGGTGGAGCTGGAGAAGAAGAGGGAGAAGACACATAGGGGAAAGATGCAGTGGTTAGTAATGACAAGAATACAACAAACTGAAGAATTCTACTGGGAATGTCATTAATGGTTAAAATGAATTTGTGTGATCAAACAATTTCAATTTGATCAAGGACATGAATCATCCAAGTGCAAAGTTAGATAGTTCTTTGCTCTTAGTGAACATTTCCTTTTCATCTATTTAAGTTCCCTAACATAATGTCAACCACATTTTAGTTTGGAACTACTGTAAAAAGATTTTCGAGAGTAGGTATAAATCCTTTTCCTATTCATGAGTACTCAGGGCCACACAATATCAAGCAGAGCTGAGAGGGTTTCAGCATTGTGGGGGTTTACACGTGCCCTGTGAGCACTCATGCCTGTTTTGTTTGGGGATTAGTTGGCTTGGAACAGAGACACCTTTGTCAACTTGACATAACTGTGCAGAAAGTGGAAACATGTCTCTTCACCTCACATCACTCTTCATGAGAGGCTGGTTTTTACATCATAGCTTTATCCCCTCTACCACGCTGAAACATTCCCCTGACCTGTAATGAACCAGGGTTGTAAATCCTTAAATATTCAAAATCCCTAAGATCTGACTGCAGGATCAGACTGCAGGAACTAGCAATGGAAAAATTGTGAACAAGACAATACAGTAAATGTTTATTCAGCTACACTTGAAGCAAGAGAGTGCTAAATGGCACGAAAACAACAAAAGTGATCATTAAATTGACATGCAGCTTCTACACAACGAGAAGGTATTTTAGAAAGTTTAGCAAGACGGACAGTGGAGAGTGGAACAACAGGGTAGAATGGGATGGAGTGCAGGTAGGTGAAGGCACACTTACCATCGCCACCATATTTTTAACAGCCTTCAGACCGCACGTTAGGGGCAGGGGAGAGAGAATAGGCTTTTAATTGCATGCACACAGGCCATTCACAAAGGGTACAAGGGTCAACAAGGTCAATAAGAAGGATAACAGCAAAGAGTAACATACATTTTCAATATATTATGTATATATATAGTTGGATGAAATCAGCATTCACAGGTTAGGTTAAGCATGTTTCATAGTCTGTGCTTTGAGACCAATGTTTGCAGCATGTGGGAAAAAAACTGGATAGCCTTTCAATTTAAGCATGTGATAGCCACGTTACACATAAACAGGGATAAACCTCTGCAGTGTAAGATTAATTCTCTGTTTGTCACGAGTCTGGGTGCAAGAGAACAGGACTTAGATTGTAGTTAAGACTTTGTACTTGAAGGACTGCTGGTTAGGCTTCCATGCAGCTTTTCAATGCAGATTAAGCTCCAGCTTGAGGTGCTAGTGTGTTAGTGCGTATCCATTCCTGACATAATAAAATTATGTAATGATATATCCCTGACGTTCACTTCACACATTACCAAGACCCTTGTGGTACAAAGGTGTACCAGAGAAAATGTGAGCCTCAATAGTCCTTAATACTAAATAATAGCAATGGTATTTGTTGTTTGACCTAAAGACTAATTTCTATTCGGGTGCATTAGATTTAAAAATCCAGCAGCATTTGTTGAGAACCTACTCGGTTGATGAGCTGCTCTCCTGCCTCTGAAGCTGTGATGAGTTTGCACAAAGCCTGGAGAGCTGGCGGCGGCAGACCTAAGGGATGAGATCAAAGGAAGTTCTTCATTATTCATACTCAAGGCACGTTCTTTATACCCCAAACTAAACAGCACTATAACGAAACAGGTGATTTCATACAGAGTAAAGGACAGAACTGGCAAAGATATATGTGGAAATCAATGTAAATTCATCGGAAGAAAATCACATTAAATGAACAAATCAATAAAACAGCGGACAGATTCTGAAACCGATTAAACTGTGATGTAGAGCTTGTCTCAGGTACACACCCAGCAGTGATTGTAAAGTGGTGCTGCACTGCTGAAGCCTGTCTCCTGGGTCAGCAGTGGGAAAGAAGACAGCAGCAGGGATACCGGTGCCTGCAGAATCGAGACGGAAGCCCACAGCTGTCAGCAGGGCCTGCCAGCCAGGGACGCCCCCCACCTTGTTCTCCACACTCTGCTGGGATGTATACATGGAGTTACGCTGGCCGTTCTGTATCCTCTGAAGAGACTTCTCCACCTGCAAGGAGTACGACAGTGTTGCATCAGTATTTTTTCTGTGTTGCTGGTTATGACATTTTCTGTATTAAGTAAGTATTCTCGTGTGTGTTTAAGTGTGTGTGTGTGTGTGTGTATCCATGTCTCACCAGGTGGAGTAGAACTCTCAGAGCATCACGCACTCGATCTGGATACTGCAGAATCTCTGCCAAGGCTTGGCCGATGAGGGAAGATGGGCTGTTAAGCTTCACGTCGTTGCCAATCAGCATATATCCTGGACAGAGAAATGCAATTAAAAAAAAAGCTCAGTTAAATAGTCATCTTTTTTTCTTTTTCTTTTTTTGTTTTATAGGAATGCAGGATTAACACATAACTGAATGACATCTCTAACCTGCCCAGTTGGAGGGGTGTGAGTACTGCTTGCTGCTCTGAACAGTCTTCATGGCATCTGCCAGTGCCGCACTAGCCTTGGTCCCATTCAGCAGGGCAGTGTAGAAGGCATGGACAAAGACTTTGGAGGCGGCGACAGGGACGGGCCACAAGGACACGAGAACACATTGAGCCCCGGCAGCCAGGAAGGCCCTGGTCAATCCCACGACACCATCTGCTGTGACCTTACTGCTGGACTCCTGGTATGAACTGTACCCACAATGACACACAAAACATGCAGATAATCGAATAAGAAAACAAGAAAATATTTACTATTTGCTTTTAAAAGCTTCCTATGTAATGCTTTTTTTATTAAGTATATAAAGCCTTTCATGTCTGTAAATCAATCCTGAATCTTTAGAATGATTTATTTGATCCTAGTTTTTGACTTCTGATTTTTTGAAAATACATTAACTGCCTCAGAATTGTAAAATATCAGGACCAAAATGAACCAGAATGAGTTCACCTACCCCAGCACAACCAGTTTGACAGGCAACCTCAGGTCCAAAATATCTGCAGCTGTGAGGAGGAACTCCTGGAGGGGTGGACTGTCACAGATACTCTCCACATCGCTGCTGTCATCCTGCATGTGGAGAGACTCTGGGATGGTGTAGCCGCTTCCAATGGAGCCCTTCCTGCCTCGACCGCTGCTGCCTCTCCTCCCCCCTGCACCTCTGCCCACTGTTCCCACTCCCACGCTGGCACTTGCCCCTCCAGGCACGCCCTCGGGGTTTGGGGTGAGCACCAGAGCTGCCAATTTCCAGGAAATGTGGGTGGCAAAGTGGGCACACTCAGCTTGTGTGAGGGCACTCATCACCCTCTCCTTGGTAGCAGAACAGCCAGCCAGTGGTTGGCATCCCAGCAGTTCAGCCACCATCAGAGCCTCCTCCTCTGCAGAGGGCATGGGTCCCCACAGCCAGCGGTCCATCACAGGTGAGGGCAGTCGAGGGTTCCCCACCACCGCTGCCATTGAGACACCACCGCAAGGAGCTGGTCCCGGGCGCCGACAGTGAGCCTGCGAGTACAGAGTCAAGGGTTAAATTCTAGCTCTACAATCTAAGTTCAGTAATTCATTAAAGATGACTTTATGGGATGTGGAAAAAAGTAGAATTTATGGCAAGTATCCATCAGGTTTTACAGGAGTTCAAATAGAAGTATGGAATTATTTTCATCTGAATGAGAAGCTCAACCTTTGCACTTGATCCAAGGCCATTGATGGAGGGAACAGCGATGAGGCTGAAGCGCTCATACAGGTATTCATTAGATGAGCTTCCTTTTAGCAGAGCGAATGGAATGAGGTACAGTTCTCCCTCCAGCACCATTACCAGTTGTCTGTGTCTGCCAACAGGCCCGCTGGAGTGCATCAAGCCCTGACATGACGAGAGGATTAGTATGAAAATGCACATGCACAAAATAGAATTCAATACGTGGTGCTATCTGCGTTCTATCTTGTAACTGCACTTTCTGATATGCTCCTCTCTCTACCACACAGCTAAATCAACAAGCAGGCAATGACCCATAGAGGTAGTACTCACCCCCTCCATAGGTGCGATGAGCAAATCATAAAGTGCCCGGAGTGGAGGCTTGCCGAGGTTGCTGGAGCGGCGAGTCAGGGAGGAGTTCCCATCTTTGGCAGGAGACATGGTGTTACTGAACAGGCTGGTCATACTCTGGCAACTCCTGCATAAACACAACACAAAGCAACGCGTGTGACAACAATGTTTTCATATTCTCCAGGATACTTTTATGCTGAAGACCCATGGCAGTTTTAGGAAGAGACATCAGGGATGTACAGTAAGCTCCTAAAATATCTGCAGGGACAACAACTATTATTGTTTTCCTTAAATTACAAAATGACCTTCTGGCATCCAGATCTACAAAAAACTAAGCTATGATATTAAGAAGTCCACACAAACCTAAAACATTAAGAAAACTATGGCTGACCTCAGGGTGAGCAGAAAGTTATTCATTGAAAATATTGAATAATAATTAGTTTGAAGTTAAAATATTTCTCTGTGCTGAGACATGTGACATTCTAATACATTTTACATTTTTTTTTTACAATGTTCAAATAAAAGGAATTTCAGCTGTCTTGTCAACTCTTTCACTGCAATCACCTATTCCCTGTGCTACTCAGTTCTTCCAGTCACTCTTGCGTTATAATAAATCCTGCATGTAAACAGGGATATTTTGCATCAAACTGTCCTTTAACATCAAACCACTCAGCTGTTCTTAATGTGATTTCCAGATGTGCTGGAAATGTGGTTGACAAGATCCGTGTCTAACTTGCTGCATAGCATTACATCAGATATGGCTCTGGCAAGACGTAAACTCCACCACTGCAGATGTCTATTTTGTGTGCTGCTAGGAAGGCTGCAGCTGCAAAGGCTCATTGTTATTTATCTGATATACTCGCTCTCAAATCTAAGCACCAAGTAAGAGGTAGATAAAGGTAGGCCATACTGGATCTCCATTGTGATGTGCTGCTCTGTGAATATGTATATACAAATTCACAACATGAGAATATACCAATAAGAATATCATGTCAATATATAACTCTCCACTAGATGGCAGTATCGTACTATGGTAGTTGGGCGCTTACAGAAACCAGTAGTAGTGAATGACAACAGCTTGCCAGAATCACCACAGCAGGAGGAGAGCAGGGTTTACACCATCTTTACAGGGACCTGCTCTACATTTAATCAAAGCTCAAAGCTTCCAGATGATGGAAGATGTGTTTGTGAGTGTCTTCAATACACTGCCAACAACATCGCAGTATTTTCTGTTTCTGAAACAGAGAAAAATAAGGTAGCCGCCCATTGTGTTTGAGGCATGTCTGCTATGTGACAGGAGTGACAGCTCCCTGCTCAGGCAGAGACACACGACATACTGAGAACTGTGCTAATGGTGGCTGTGGGGTTAGAACCCTTTGGTGCTGTAGGCACACAGGGCCAAGCTTTATGGCTGCGCTTGTCACTACTCTCCATCTGTTTCACCAGCCAGAGTTTCTTCCGGGCCCCAGCCAACAGACATCTATCCTGCCCTTCTGGTAGCCCCAGGCCACTGGCTTCCCTCCAGCCTCCCAACACTCTGTCTCTCTCCCAAGCCTTGGCATGAGCCTCCATGGGAAAGCAAACAATCGTTTGTTAGCCTGACATGAAGAATGAGAGAGGAGGCAAGGGATAAGCCAAGAGAAGGTGAGTGTCAAGTGTAGAGGGAAACAGTGAATAGAAAAGACTAAGAGCAGTGAAGCTGAAGGTGATGAAGGCTAGTTTGGTCTGCAGTTGAAAGACTTGCTTAAGTGTGGTCGAGCTTTAACCCGTGGCCACCTAGCTCTTTTGATGCAGGCATCTTGTTCTATCAGTGTTTGCTGCGTCTGCACTGACAACTTCATCAAGATCATCAAACAATCTCATTATGCCATCATTGTGCATAAAAACGTTTTCAATTACACACTGAGGGGATTAGAAACGAGGAGACTTTCATTATCACCTTCTCATGGTAATCCTTCCAAGCTCCCTGGTGAAGATTAGATCTCAGTGTTAAAATAGGACAATCGATAATAACGGCAAATTATGATATCACACCAAGAAGCACAGATCTTTTAAGGCTGAGTATATTGTTCTCTTACCTATTTTGATTTAAATGACATTCAATTAGAGTTTAGTCTATTTTAATCATTTCTCTTGATTATGAGTAACTGTAGAAATACTGCAGTCCTCACATCACTAATAGCTTAGATCTTAACATGTTAAGGAAAAATGATATGAAGTGAGGTCAATGAGAGCCCTTGAAAAGCACATAAATGTACATTAACTGACATCAAACCCCAAGATGTACAGTCTGACTTGAAATGACAATGAGGTTTTCTTCCTTTTCTCTCGCTTTAGAAATGTGATAGACGGTAGGCTCCTAAGCATGAGGAGCTTTATAATTCAGAGTTTTTTGAGACCCAAAAGAATGAGTGGATTATTACCGGCAACCCATTAAAGGGGCTTAATGAGCACCAAGACTCAATTAAAGCTGGAATTACCCTCTCATCAAAGAGCAGCTCAACTGTGGACGAGGACAGGGAAGTATGACCCAGACACACACACACACACACGCACGCACACACACGCACACACACACACGCACGCACACGTTCTATTGACATACATTACCAATCAGCACAGTGTAAATGAATGCTCTGCTTAGTGTCATTAAATAATACTTGGAACAAGCCACAGGCACACTCACATGAAATCTCCACAACAAACACACAGACAGGGCAACAACTTACAACCACATGGGTCTCAATGTCTGTGTCTGGCAAGCACACACACACACGCACGCACGCACACACGCACGCACGCACACACACGCACATACACCAAGGCCTCATCAGAGTAGGCATTTGATAAGGGCTTTAGCAGCTTGGCTCTACTCAGTCTATTTAATAAGGAGGATTCACATGCTGCCTCTGCGCTGGCTAAACAATGGAGAAAAGACGCCTTTCACAGATGAGCCACAATACCCACGAATCTCCTTACCCTTGCAGATATTTTTAATCTTTCCTTCTTTCTTTTTTTTTCTTTTGGTGAAAAGTAGGTCTGAGTAGCGCATGTTGATTAAGACTGTCTGTAGGAACCTCCAGGTGATTTGCAACAATCTCCTACCTGTTGAACAAGTTGTTTCTGGACACCATGCGCAGGAAGCCTGTTGGATCAGTGACAGAGTTAAGCTTGTTGTTGAGCTCCTCAAATTGTTGGTCCAACAAATCTCCAGCCTCACTCTCCGTCTCACTGCTCGAACACCCGCTGAAAGAGAGAGAGAGCGACAGAGAGATGGAGTTAGAGAAATGCACAGCCACTGAAATGTTGGCAAGAAAAAGGCACTTCAGCAAAGTAGACAATACACAGACTTAGATTGTTTCTCTGCGGATAAATCAACTACACACACTCCTCATCTGCCTAAAATATACGCTGTTCAACCCACACACACTTGGCCTAATTTCCCAGGCTTGGTCCAACACCCTGATGGTAAGCAGAGTTAAATCCTTTCATTATAATGCCGGTGATGCTGATCCAGTCAGTGGGGAGTCAACCACTCCCACCCCACAATCACTACCTCGCCACCACTCTCCCCCATCCCTCTCCTCAAGCCTGAACCTCTCTTCTGATGTGTCCATATCATGCAACTCTTTTGTCAGCTTCTTGCTCTCACGGTAGCTGAGTGTGAACTTGCACCATGGGATCTCTCATCACCTCATGCTCCCACTACCACCACTGCACTGCTGTTTTGTTTTTGTTTGTTTTTTGTTTTAAAATCCTTGCAGTACACGTCTCATTTGAGATTCATTCTCCTGGGGCTTATATTCTGACAGATCTATGTGGACTGAAGAAATGTTGTAAATAGTACATAAAATCCACATATTAATACATAAGATTTCAACCGTCACATACGCTGCATCCTCTCCTCTCTATATCATTCTTTCAGTCACGCGAATATACTCTCCCCATTCTTCTCCATCCCATTCATTTTCTCTCTCTCCACACATTACAGAGTGCCGCCTCCCTTTCTCTGCTCTCTGGAGAATGAATGGGCTGGTAAGTGGTGCCATATTGTGCCCATCCAGGCGCAATGGTGTGTGTGCAACTTCCTATTGGAGTAGTAAATGAGCTGGTAATGGGGCAGGAGGGCCAGGCTGCTAGGGGTGGAAGGGGCTGGCACTGGGCAGACCAGCTGGGCACTATGGATCAAACACCAACTAGAGAAACAAGGCAAACGTCAAACTCAGTGTAGGCTCATGGGTGTCGAAGGGTGATTTTCACTGTCAATATATTTCGCCACATTTTCCATCTCCTCCTACGGAGCCCCTCTGGCTACGTTCCCTGTTGTCTGTTAAGTCTTTATTCATCAGTCTCTGCCTCTTTGATTTTACAACCTCATCTCCACCTTCTTCCCATTGTTCCTTATACTCTCAGTAAACCCATTCTCTCTTCCTTTACTTGTCACGTTCACTGTTTGTTAGGTGGGTTCAACTGTCTGGCTATCCAAAGAGCCATTATTCCGTCTCATTTATTCCCACTGGGGAGAGAGTAGAGTACTTTAGGCAGGTAGTGGAGGGCTGTCATCACAGGGTGCAATGGGGCAGAATAATACTCTTTCACACACAGACTGAATGATAAAATAACCCTTCTTCAGCTAACTCCGGGGTTAAGTTTTGGTTTGAGTGTTAATCTTTGTTCAGTGTTTACATTCTACATTCTACATTTGAAGATAAAATGTTGTTTGTTGTTTTTACAATACCCTCTGATGACTGGTTAACAAGGGCTTTCCAAAGAGTACTTGTTAAACAGTGTGGTCTGTAGTGCCGCTCCTTCACTTTTCTGTCAATAAACTTTATGTGGGTGCTTTTTTTTTTTTTTCTTGGCAGCTATCACCGTTCAGTAAACCAGAATTACCGCCTCGTGGTTGCATGCCTCCGCCAGCCAGTCAAGTTGCAGGAAACATGGTCACAATCTCCTCTTCTGTTGCCAGGTTACAGCGCTGAATAATGGCCAAGAAAGTGTTTTTGCAGAATATCATGATGTCAAGGTGAAGGTGACCTTTGACCTTTTGGATATGAAATCTTATTTTATCCTCTTACACATTTGTGTGAAATTTTGTCATAATTAGCATGACTTTTTGCGCTATGGCCAAAATACAGAGACCTTGATCTTTGACCTTTGATCACCAAATCTTAATCAGTTCATCCTCTAATCCAGGTGAATGTCTGTAAGAAATTTGAAAAAATTCCCTCATATCGTGTTCACAAGAATGGGACAGAAGGACAAGTATCAAAATGGAATTTTTAGATCACTATGTTGCAGATCACAACTAAACATCAAGGGATGTGTGGGGATTCTTCTGCATTTATTTAGTTAAAGCAAGTTTGGTCATAAAATGAGAAGGAATAATCACAACTGCTGGACCATAATAGAGGCAATGAAGCCCTCTGTAAAGAAAAAAAGCTTTGCAACTGAGCTATCATTAATTCTTAATTCATCTAAACTTCTTAAAACCAGATGTCAGCGACTCAAGCATGGGGTAATAAGAAAAGAAAATGGGCTTTGTAAGGACTGACCACCCCAAATGTCTCCATCATACCATATTGCTACATGTGTCACTTCAATAATGGTTAATGATTCATATTACATGAGTGGCAGAGGGGGGTAGTTAAAAATCAGCTGTGACATCACTGTGTGGAAATCCTGTGTATGCTGTAACATAATCCATGAAGTCACTTGTTTGATAAAGAAAAACAAGCGCTTTTGCACATGTTCTAGCAATTACTGTTAAATAGGTATGTTATGATTTGGATAATGAACACATGAAACAAACAAAGAGTTTTCATTTAATTGTGACAGCTGTAAACATCTCACCGGCTGTAATAAGACTCAACTCCGAGGGCCTCCCGGGCGCTGGCAATGTGCTGCTCCAACGACGAGCCGCTGACCACTCCGCTGCCGCCTGCCTCCTGGAAGTCTGACACTCCTTCTGATACGCCCTCGCCCAGGTACACCTCATGAAACTTCAGGATACCTGTGGAGAGAGGGAGAGAAGGGAAACACGGCCAAGCATGACTGGCTGTTTTCAGGTGTTTATGAAATGAAAGTTTAATAACAAAAAATAAATAAATGAAACCATTTTCCACGCTTCTTTTACTCATACGTTTGTATCACTGTCTCATGACGGGAGAAATATTAGATCATTTCAGCTGAACGCTGTGAGTGAGGCCACATGCAGTAGTGCATCTGTGGAGCGAAATGAATAAAACAAATAATGTTCAATAAAAGATAAGAGTAGGCTGCCTGTGCCATCTGCTGCCCGCCATGAGAGCTCAGCTGAGTTTCCAGCAGAACATCGGGGGGGGTGGGGGGGGGGAGCACACTGGGGGATGCAGTACAAGCTGAGTGTGTGTGTGTGTGTGTGTGTGTGTGTGTGTATAAGTGTGAGTTTGTGGGTGTATCAGTGCTCTGTAAGCATAGATGTGCTCACATGGATGTTTTGTATTTGTATAATGCATTTGAATAGAGAATATATGTGATTCAGGTGTACTGTATACGTGTGTGTGTGTGTGTGCGCATTCAGGTCTATAAAATATCACAGAATTTACACAACCGAAGTAATTAAGACTTTAGAAGCCCCTTTTTACTGATTATAGGCTGTTTAGAGCAGCAGCCATGTTCGTGTGCCAGCTGGATGCCAGGGAATGCCAGGAAGTGACAGACAGACGATTAGTGAGCAAGTCGCTCCCTCTTAGCCTGGGGCAACATTCAACGCTTTGAAGATCTCCACTTGTCCCTGTAGTGTTCCTCCCCTCCGTATGACTAGTGCTTGGGGGGTCAAGTTCATCTGGTTGCCTGGGAGCTGGATTTGATCAAATGTTCAGGCCTGGTGGCATGGGACATGGGTCACGGTTCTCATTTCCTCTCTTTACAGCAGAGAGCAGAAGAGAGCCAAAGAACAACTTACAGTATGGCAGCTACAGGAGTCGTGTGACATGTGCTGTAGTTCACCTGCAGCTCTGCTTATCGGTGAAACTGGAATTTCATGAGTCATATAAACAAACTGCTTCATAATCTCTTTGCCTTTGTTGGTGTTACTCAGCGCGTCCATGAAAGAGACAAAAATGGAGAGGTACACCAAGCAGTGTCAAAGTACAGCAATACCAAAACAAGACAAAAAGAAAAACAAAGAATCCGAGAGAAACAGAGAAATTATGTTTTGACTTGGTGCAACAGCGACGTGATTTCCTGTTGGCATGTGTGAAGATGTTGCCTGTGTTGTTTGGCTGTGTCACTATCAATTAGCACGGTTCACTGGCAGATGCCTTCTGGGGTGAGGAGCGAGGCAGGGGGCAAATCCTAACAGTGGAGTGGCAGGTGGCACTGCCACTTGGTGTTAAAGCTGGCCTTCTTACCCCTGCAGCTCAAAACAAGCCACAGCCTCTAGGCCTTTTATCCGCTTTGATTCGAACAAGCAAATGTGTGTGTGTGTGTATTTGTGTGTATGTGCTTTCACCTTCATCACTCTTACAGCTTTGTTTTTGTTTGTTCTGTTTTTTGTCAATGTTTTGTTACATCACTACAATTATATAGCATCTGACTGTTAGCATCGCTCTATGCCTGACTTTGTGGTTGAATATCTTACTTGATTTGTGTATTACAAGTAGATACGTTGTGAGCACAGGGAATAAATCAACTCAGAAGTCGTGAAAAAGAGTTTATGCATAAAATTGAAAATAGGCTGCAGCTTAAATGTGTTGTACAAAGGACTTTGAGAAACAGAAGTAGGTTAGAGAGTAAAGTTTCCAGTCGCTGTGGCACCATATGGTCATTTGTTATAATTAATTTTTACCTGAGTAAGAGAAATTTGAAACCTATCCACCGAATTTGATTGTTCAAGCACATATGGTCTCTGACAGTGAAAAGATGACAGCCAGACATGAAAGGTTTCATCACAAAAATTTATAGTCTGAGCAAAAAAGCAACCAGAGAGTCAAATCTTACCTGCTCCTGGAGCCAGCAGCCAGCTGTACAGGTAACCAGCAGCCATGGAGAAATACAGCACCAAGGCCCTCTGGCTGTTGACGGTGTCCAGGATGTGCTCCACCGTTACTGGGGTGTAGGGGTCTGAGTCCTGCTGGCCCGTCTGCCTCTCCACCAAGAGGTCAGCGAAGGCTCGTGTACGACCCCGCTCTGCCACTGCCAGGGCCTCATCGTGGTGGCCTGTGGTGTAGCAGAGGTCAATGCTTATTAATGCGTCAATTCTGAAACCCAATCTTTCAATCACACAAATGTCCAAAAGAAAAAACAAACTGGAATTTAGCTGCATGAAGGAGTGAGGATATGAGAAGTTCATGTGAACATACCTAGGCTGACAAGGACCCTTTGGAGTGCCTGGTAGCAGGAGGTTTGCAGGTCAAACAGGGAAAGTTTATAGTCTGTGCTGTGCTGGGCTTCGTGGCGGATGGTCTCAAACAGTGCAGATGCCCGGTAGAGCTGATAATAAACAACAATCAGACATTTTCTGATGAACCCTTTGTTTGTTCATTTACATAGTAAAATTATGACGTGACATTGTGATTCAGCTCTTATTGGTCCTGTGTAGCTCAAAAGGAAGGGCATGACACTGGTATTCATTGTTATAGGTTTGATTCATATTGAGCTAAATCATGCTAAAAATGTTAGCAGTCATGACACTTTAAGAAAGACATTGTGGTTAAAAATGTCCACAGATTGCTAAATGCACATATCATTAGAATTATTTTGGCCACTAGATGGTAGCAGCCCACCTCACTGGTGGTCATTGATCAGACTTGCTGCCTTCCAATTATTGCTTCTCTCTCAACAGAGGAAAGTACTGTAATGTAGCCTGAAGAATCACCATCAAACACAAGTAAACCACTATTCAGCTCTTATATGCCTGGACGTGGGAAAGGGCAATGAGAAGCTAAACCATTACCTGGGCATCTTGGACAGGCTGCGTCCAAGGAAACAAATGCTTTGTGAACTCGATAGCCCTCTCTGTCTTATTAGACCTTTCTATTCAGCACAAGACATTGGATTGAGAGAAGGAGAGAGACAATGGAGAGGTGGGGCGGCAGGCAGTGTTGCACATTGGCCAAGCGGAGCTGGCCAGGAGTGCTGATTCATGGGGGCCTTTATTGATTTCCTATTTCTGTGCCTATGGCAGCCCTGTAGGATGACTGGGACTGCTATAGAACCACTCTCCAGGAGTCCAGTGCCAGCAAAGATGGAAAAATGCTCTGCTCATACTGCTTGACCATAGTTCATAGAAGACAAAGAACTGCAGTGGAGAAAAGGTTGCTGGTATGGATGAAATGGATTCCATCAGCACACTGTGGGTTTGGTGAGAGAAAGAAAGAGAGAATGTGTGCGCCTCATGTGAGCGCACACATATGCATACTGTGTAGCTCGTCTGACATATCCCAAGGTCATGCAGGAAAAGTGTGTCAGAGGGAGTGAAGAGGGAGAGTAGAGATCAGCAGAGAATCGGCGAGCTCTGCTGCATTAGTGCTAGTAGACGGAGCTGCTAGTCTCAGGCTGATTTTGCTGATAGGGCTGTGGGGTTGATTGCTGCACTGCTAGTTTAATCTGTTAGACTTGCAGACATCCCTTTAAGAGTGAAACTAATTTCTCACAGCGCCTTTCTTCTGGCCTGACCCCTCCTGGCACAGATGAAAGGGAAACAATCCCAAATGTGCTGCGTCCGCAGTGACTTGCTTGGAGGCGGTTCAGGTAAAAATCTCCTACATTCTCCAACTGCTATGCATTCAGATAGCACTCTCATGTTTTACCGTCACTGACACTAACATGGCTTTTATCTGACATGTTAAGTGAATGTCAATGTCACACTGAATCGGTAGCGTGAGCGGAGCTTGATACACACGTACCTCTAATGATTTTTGTAAAGTAAGCTCCTCGGGGAACTCTCATGACAGATGATATCAGAGGTTGAAAAAAAGCTTAATCTACGGTAGACCACTGATATTTAAGTCAACATGAATTTATTGATTAATGCTCTCCTTAGATATGAATGTGAACCCTGCTGAAAAAGCTGATTAGAATCAGGAGACATCAATCGGTGTGTCACGGTGAACATCAATGTCACAGCTGGGGTGTTAAACTACAATTGGGTTTAAATACGGAGAGAATGAGGAACATGAGGTCAAGTACTCTCATGCCACACCTATGGATGCTTTATGAATCTCAACACAAGCCTATACAAATGAGGTTTGAAGTGGGTCGGGGCATTTGCCAAGGTCATGTGTAGCAACAGGCCAGCTCATGAATAACCATGTGATCCATACTCTGAGGACAACAGTGTCCTTTCCCACCTCCAACTCGCCCTGGGAGCTGCAAGCTCACAGGGGGGGAAAAAAAATCTAAACATTGCTGTGGTATAAGTGGGCAAAGCACTGGATCACAATGTTAACATGTACTTCTAAGGTCTTATGGTCAAGTGTTAAACTGGAAAGCAAACATGCAGTGGAAAATATGTTGCACTGGCCTTTTAGAATAATATTTTGGTTTAATTGAACACATTCCTCAATATGACTCATGAGCCTCAGCTCTAGTCACCACCTTGCTTCGGTCTTTCTTTCCCAACTCTTGTTACAGATAATTGCAAACAGACAACATTACTTTTTGAAGACTATGATGCAGGACCGAAAAAACAAAGCTATCTGGGTCACATAGATGTACCTAGTGTGAGCGTATCATAGCAGAAATGCTTTGGACTAGATTTTGGAAATGAAAGCAGCTGAATAACATCCCTACAGACACACGTGACAGCCACTGCTGTTGGCTGACTGTTCACAGGCTTGTATGTGGATACACAAGCTAAGGGAAAAAAAAAAAAAGAAATCAAATCTTGAGCGGTGTGTGGACAGACTGTAAAGAGAGATGTTAAGGGGATATTCCATGCTTGCCAGGTGGGCAGTGGGCTGAAGAGGAGTGAATGTGTGTGTGATGCAGAGGCTCGGGACTCCTGAGACCATGCACACAGATACAAAAAAAAATAAAATCTTTAGTCATCTGTCGCCTGTCTACTGAGATGACAGCATTCACAGGCTCAACAGACTCCCCAGCATATTGCCAACAGACGTGTTCAAGCTCTATAGCCACATCTCCTTTTTCCTGTTTCTCTCTCTCCTCTGGGTACTTTCTTTCACCATAAGTGTGTTACAAAAAAATTTAATTCCACACTCTGTGTCTTTGGACATCTACATCCCCTGCTCATTTGTAATCTTTGCCGACCAACAGATGTGTGCTTATTAGAGGTCAGTTTTAACTACATAAGGTTGGTTTGCTGGAAGGAATCAAGATGGAGGAGGAGAGGAGAGGAGAGGAGAGGAGAGGAGAGGAGAGGATAGGATAATTGAGTCAAGGTCCAGGCAAGAAGAGGAAGGAAGAGGAGATACTTTACCTGATGTTGGGCTTCCTCCAGATTCCCGCTGGCCCATAGAGAGAGCCCCAGACGATGGCGGATCTTCGCCTCGTCCTCACGCCGTGCCAGCTGCTCTGCAAGCCGCAGGCCTGTCGGGAGGGGAGGATATGAGAGCAGATGAGCGAGAGAGAGAGAGAGAGAGAGAGAGAGAGAGAGAGAGGGAGAGGGAGAGGGAGAGAAGAGTAAAAATTATTCAGAGCAGGCAGACTCTTAGGTATCTTTCAGAGTAACAGATGTAAGCATAGCGTGGTACTGATGTTCTGACAGCGAACAGGTTTGGATATTTGGCCTCAGTTGTAAGATACTGCTCACACTGGGACTAAAACACACACACACACACTTCTGCCATAGAGGGAGGCTGTTAGAGGACTAATCGGACTGCATAGTAATCAATGCTAAGCATCGACTGGCTGAGCAAACACAAACAGAAGCTTAATGCTTGCATTAAAGGAGCCACGCAATATCATGAAGACGTCCACAAATATTTGCAAACACACTGATGAGCTAATAATAGACTGGATGCAAACTCACAGTGCGTGTGGTGTTTTGTTTGAGAGACTTCCAGAGTTGTTTGGGAAGGCAGGGGATGTTTGTACGTGCATGTGTGTGTATCTAGGTGTGCACATTCAGTGAGTATGCCTGTGTCAGATCACCTGGTGAGTGTGCGCTTTGTTTTTCACTTCCAATCCCTCAAGCAGTGAGGCGCATGTCACATCTTTGCATGTGTCCTCATCTGCCTGCCGAGTATTTGGTTCTGCCCAATTACTGAGATGAAAATGCCACTCCACAGAGGACAATGATTAAAAAAAAAAAAAAAAAAAACGACAGCTGCTGGGTCACATATCACCCACAAGGTGCTAAATGCACAGCAAGCATTCTGCAGTCTGCAATAGGCTGTTACTCGTGCACAGTCTCACTTAGCCCGGGCTCTGTATTTCCAAGTCTATTCTCTCCACTCGCCTGTGTGGTGAAGGGGGTCTAAACATGCTTTTGGTCAAAGAGAGGGGAAAGTGGGCCAAGCCACCCTCGTCCGAGTTTGCTTTTCTCGGCATTCCTGGAAAACAGTCTGTGGCTGGACCAGATAAGCCAAGAACAGAGAGCGTGACCCGAAACAGCCAGCCTATTCCACAAGACCCAGCACACCACGCAACCGTAGACTTCATGGCTCCTCCATGGCCACGCTAGTCGGCAGCCTTTGAAGCCTGCAACAGTCTCCCCTCTCTCCTTATCTTTCCACACACCCTCCTTCTTTCTGCCTGCCTGCCCTCTTCCCCCATGCATCTACTGTGCTTCTCTCTCCCTCTACCTCCCGTATTCATTTTCTCATCTCTGTGCCTGTGTCTCAGGCCCCCCTCTGCTCTCTCTACCTGTTTCATCTTGACTGTGGCACTACTTGCAGGGACTCGGCACTGCTTAGGGCTCATTAGGCGCTGGAGCAAGAGAGAGGAAACAGATCTAAATTATCCTTTTCATTCTCTGACAGCCTCACCCCTCACTCATCTCAACTCCAGCTCTGAGCCTTTCATCTGCACGCGCATGAACGCGCGCGCACACACACACACACACAAACACACACAAAACATGTCTTTCTCCGAGCCGCTCTGTGATAGTTCTTTATGATCAAGCCTAAATGTCAACCAACTCTATGTTTTCTTTATTCTCCAGTTGACAGTGAAATAATACATGTGAATTATGACTCATACCGATCTCCGTCTTTCCTCTCTGCCTTCCTCTCTCTTTCCCTCCTTCCCTCCATAACTCTCTCATTCCCTCTGTTCTCCCGCTCTGTATCATTCAGTGTCTGTCACTGTCACCGTGCGTGCCTTTGGTGCGCCCCGCAGGCACAGTCACGTAGCGGCGGCTGACACGAGGATGTGGCCGTGGCTGGCTGCACCCTGAAGAGCAACTAGAGAACACTTTAAAGGCTGCTTGACAGCTGGGTGAGAGATTCTCTGCAGCCCCTGAGGCCCACGCACCTCTGCCTTCAGACACAAGCTTTACGTGCAGACACCACATACACATGCGCTGGAACAAGGGCACGAAATCTCATGCACCGTCGAACCACAAGTGTGTGGTACGGTGAAAAAAAAAAAAAAAAAAACCCCTCTTACATGCACACACTTGAAACGGTGCCCTTTGATCATGACCATTGTGGAAAAGAATAGTGTGTCACATACAGTCAGTGTGTACCATAAACAATTTTTGAGGAAAAACAAAAAAAAAGACAATCCTGGAGACATTTCCACGATACATATTCTCACTGCGGTGTTTCTTTCTTCTTTCTTTTCTATGATGACACCCAAATCTTCAGACCTATGCTATATTGTGAAAACACTGAAGATGATAGTAGCTGTGTTGCATATTACTGAACAAACACCCCAACCAATTTAAAATTCACCTCCATGGTGGTAAGACAGTTCTGACATTTGCAGAACTAAATACTAGTATTTGTGAAAGCTTGATTAATAATTTATGGAACAATGGAAAGCTAGACTAATTCATTTTCAAATGTTAATCACTAATATATACAGTGTATACTTGAGTTTAAAGATTTTGTCTGTTCTGAGCCTAAGAAGCGGTGAAAATACAATAAACTTAACCACAGGGATCTAGCTGCGTATATCAGTAGCTCACTATAACATCAGCGCAAGTACCACCACTGTAACAGCAACCAACATTCAACATTTATAGCAGAAAAACAGTAAGACTGAAAACTGTGAGGGGTCCAAATATGATGATGAAAGGTCCAGACATTTCACACTGATAAACTCAGCTTTATATGCCCCCTGAAACGCTCTTCTGAAGCCTATCAACATGAATGTGTTTTAATTGATACCCTGAAATAGCTCTATTATTATGTTTAACATACAAAGAATTTATAACACTGTAAAAATCATGTATATATTTGGCCTCTTTTGTCTTACACATAATTAAGATGTCTCACAGATTAAACAGATTCATACCCGCTTATGCTTATACCATGCAGGTTTGCTTGCATATAGGAGTTTATTATTCCATAAAAGTTGGTTTAAAAGTTTCTCACATACAGAACATATATAATAATAAATATATATATAAATAATCTATTATGCAAAATATACATAATACAGTAAATTATACATGTAACAAAAACATATAACTATTGAATTTTATCCATGAGGATATAGTGTATATAATCCATTATATTTTTCATTTACAATATGTATGACTAAATATGTCACCTATTTCATTTACATGTCCTGATTTAGAGTCACGTTTCTAGCATACACTGCCTTTGCAGGTTGAATTTTGTTATTCCATTACTTGTTGTTCCATAAACCAAGCATGGAGAAACTGTAATACCTCCATTAGTCGCTACAATGAGGCCATTGATTTAATGACACTATTGTGTTAATCGTCGAAAAGTGCATCTTGGTGTGAAATGCCTCTTCTGTTTTAGATTGAGACATCGCTGTGCGATGTCCTTTAATGTAAAATTACAGGACGATAACTTGGGGAGTGCAGTGAACACTTGAAGTGACAGAAATGATGTTTGCCTGTCAGCAGTTAATTGGTGTCTCTGTGTGTCTTCCTCTGCTGCCTTATCATTCTCTATTACTCTGCAACACAGAATAACCATCACACACACGATTCACACACACAAGCATGAACACTAATATTTATGAATACACACACACTGAGTTGGAGGTCACATGTTGTCAACAATATCTGCACTAGTTTTGGAGATGCCTTTCTATCCCTTCTTCCAATTAATCTTTTTCAGGAAACAAAAACAAAAAAAAACACGCAGTGCAGCATGAAGAATAAAAAAAAAACAAAAAACACAAAACTAGCTGTAGCAGTAGAAAAAAATAGAAAACTGAAGGGAAAAAACCTTGCCAACTTTTCGGTCTGGGTAGGTTGGCCAGAAATAATTGGCTGTCAACGATAGTGAAGGCACTGTTCTTTTTCACAGCCAGACTGAGGAACAATACAAGGACAGTGCAGGGGACAACAGGAGGACAGGGTGGAGACAGAATAGCCTGTCGCCTTTGTTTCCATTAAGCCTCAACAAGCATCACTGCAGAGGGTGTGTGGGTCACTGCAGGCCCGGCTAACTCTAATAAAGCGGACGGAAGAGAGATAGAGGAGATGTATTCACGTTCCCTTGCATTCACTCCATGCAGGGTGAAACATACAACTGTTCTCTTACACGAGCATCAGTTTTCTTGGATTCAAACAGCCTTTGGGTCATAAACAGGGTGGGTGTGCATGAGCATGAGGACTGTCACGTGCGAGGCGGATGGTGTGGACGTTCGGCTTGCATCCATGGATGCTTCCACTTATCACATCCTCGGTGACAAACACTTCCTGCACTGTCACTGACATAATGAATTTTTTAGGGGCCAAGCTGCAGGTTTTTATTTCACCATAATCTGTGGGGGACAATGAAGCGTGAGAAGCAGGAGTCTGTCAGCCACTGTGTGAAAAGATCCTTTGGCAGCTCACTGCAAAGAACCCTCTGAGAAAAGTAGATATAGAGGTGTGAAGAACAGCTAGCAGTAAACAGGAAAAATGCCTTGGCGTGCATCCTGATAGGTTTGCACAGACATACACACACAAATGCTGGTATACCTTTACAGCGCGGAAGACAACACAGACGCATAATACACACACAAAATCCCCCTGTGCACTTATAACACATGAGCACAAAAGCCCAAACACACACACACATACACACACACACACACACACACACGTACACACACACACACACACACACACACACACACACACACACACACACACACACACACACACACACACACACACACACACACACACACACACACACACACACACAAACACATGCACACAGCCTAATAAAAATGTGGCAAAGGCTTAGCTACAAATAGGCTCTGAATTTCATATTCATGAATTCACAAACTCTAAGCCTATCAGCTCAGGCAACAAAGGCAATCCTCTCTCCTGTTCCCCCTGACTCACTCACCTTCCTGCAGGTACATGACAGCCTGTGAGTAGTTTTGCAGTGCGTGGTGTGTTCTCCCCAGGCTACCATAGGCCAGCGTCTTGGCAGCCAAGTCATTAGTCTGAGCCGCCACACTTAGGTGCTGTTCTTGGAACACGACCGCCCGCTCGTAGTTTCCTAGCGACTCATAGGTAAGGCCCAAGTTGCCGTAGGCGCGCGCCTGGCGTGTTGGGCTGCCTGCCTCCTCTGCAATCTCCAGGTCACTTTGGTGGCATCGCAGGGCTGTCTCATACTCTCCCATAGCTTGATATACAGCGCCCAAACCGCAGCTGGCATCGCCCTCCAGTAGTCTGTCCTGGGTGTCACGGGCAATGGCCAGCTGACGCTCCAGACAGGAGATAGCCTGCTCGTAATTGCCCAGTTGACTGTGGAGAGCACCCAGTTCGCCGTAGGCCTGAGCCTTGCCGCCACACTCCCCTAGCTCATGAGCCACTACTAGTCGCTTTTCAAAACACACCAGTGACTGCTGTAGGTTTCCCATGGCCCTGCAGATGAAGACAGAAAACCAGTGAGCGTCAGAGTGAAGCAGATTAGGAGTGAGATATGTGAAATAACAAGTCAACAAGACAACCTGAAAATCCGTCATTGGCATTTTCTGTTCAATTGCACAAATGCTTAGATATCTTTCATGCCTCCAACATTCAAAATAAATCTATTTATCTCTGCTTATCTCATATCTAGGGAAAACTTTACTCTTTATTCATGCGGACACATTTCTATTCTCTTGTAACAGAGCGCCATTAGAACGCAACAAGGAATGGACATTGCAGGAAAACTTTCATTTGCAAAGCTCCCGTCACAGCACTGAGAGCTACTGAAGTTGACAGGCTGAAGTGTGTGGGGATGGCTATATGAGAAATGTTTCAGCCATGATATGAAATTTTAAATTTAGGCTTTTTTTTTTTTTTTTTGGAGGGTAACGCTGTTAACCACCCTCTAATACGAGATGGATCATCTGTCAGAGGATCCCTGCTCCCATCTCCACATTTTATTTGCTTTCACAGCCTTCAAACAGACTTTAGTCACCGTCTCAGGCACACCAACAATCGGCGAATGCCGGTTCAAATGGGGCATTAAAAGAATAAAAGCCTTCAGCTTAATTAATGTTGTGTGATAATGTATGTGCTTGACTAAAAGCTGTTGGAAGACGAGAAAGGTTCGCGCGTGATGTCTATTATTCCCCTCTGAACTCATGCATGGCTAATACTGCTGTGTGTGATTGCTGTGGTGCCACACTGATGACGCACAATAAGAAGAAAATCATCTCTGAAATGAGGATTTCGGCAAGCCCTTCGTGTTTTATTTTGCACTGTAGTCTCCTCGGATGCTATCAGCTTTTTGACAAATAAGGAGAAATGGAGGGGAGAAGAGACACAAGATGTAAGAGGTTGCCTTGAAATAACTGTGCTCTCAGACATCTGTGTGCCAAAGCCTCTTTGCATACAGATAAGGCCGGGGCCACTAGGCTGCTGCTGAGACAGCTAGCACCAGCCGGCTCGCATCCAAGCCATGCTCACCGGCAAGGTGTCTCTAAACTATGGTGGTCCTTGAGAGTGAGCGCAAGGAGAAAAATAATATGCCAAGTAGGATTACGGTGATTATTAGTAATACCCAGTCAGTACAATTATCAGCTGCTGCAACAGCTGAGGGAAAATTGATAGTGGTGCGTTATTCAAAGCCTGAGGAGCATTTCATGTGAAATAGTGAATTTGAAACATAATGCCAGACTTACCGGTGTCCATTGCCTAAACCTCTGTAGGCCTTCTCCTGGTCCTGCATGCGGTTCAGGCTCTGGGCCACTGACAGATACTGGTCATAGTACTTGATGGCTTCCTCAAAGTCTCCCAGAGCCTCGTAACAGTCTCCCAAGTTTCCATAGGCCCTGCCCCTGTCCATTACCGCCTCGTTGCCACTCAGCTGCTGCAAAGTGGCCAGCTGCTGCTCCAAGTAGCCAATAGCTTCCTCCATCACCCCTACATTCATTTTAGTGATGCCCATGTTTCCGTACACCTGAGCCTCCACGACGGGATCTTTCAGCCTTCGACCTAGCTCCAACTGCTCTTCGTAGCTCTTGAAGGCCATGGCGTACTTCCCCAGGGCCATGTAGACAGCTGCCAGGTGACCATGGGCTTTGCACTCTCCCGACACGTCGCCCAGCTCTTGGTACACCTCCAGCTCCTGGGTGTGGTAGCCCAGAGCTTTGTCATATTTCTGCACAAGTCTGTAAGTGGCCCCGAGGGCAGCGTAGGCACAGGCCTCCATCCTACGCTCCTTAACCTGAAACGAGAAAGAATTTCACATTATCCGCATGAGGGGCATGAGTGAGTGATTTCTAAATTACATTCTGCATGGCATTTCCTATTTTTATGATGAATTGCTCTAGTATACACATTCACTATGTGTGGCCATACCTGGTGAGCTAAGGCCAGTTGCTGCTCATAAAACTGAATGGCTCCGGCCACGTCTTTTTTACAGACAAATATGTCTCCCAGGTTCCCCAGAGCTCTGAAGCGAGCCTGTGCATTGTTCAGAGACTGGGCCAGTGACAGCAGGTATTTCTGACACTCCTCTGCCTTAGTGAAGTCTCCTAGGGCCTTGAATGCCAAACCAAGGTTACAGTATGCCTTGGCCTGACTCAGTTTGTCATGAAGGTCCTTGGCCAGAGCTAGGTCCTGCTCATAGTATTTGACAGCATCCTGATAGTTGCCCAGACAGTAGTGGGCATAACCCAGATTGTGACAAACTTTCCCTTCACTCTCCATGTCTTGGAGGTCAGGGGACAGCCGGAGGTACTGCTCGTAGTAGGGCACGGCCTGAGGGAACTCTCCTCGAGAGCAGTGGAAGTTGCCGAGGTTGCCCAGAGCCCGCGCCTCGCTCTGGACGTCTCTGAGCTCACGAGCTATGTTGAGGTGGTTCTGGTAATGCTGCAGAGCGCGGTCATGGGCTCCGAGGGCTTGGTAAGCCACAGCCAGGTTGCCATGGGTGGAAGCCTGCGAGGCCCGGTCATTGACCTCCATGGAGATCTGCAGCTCCTGGCGGTGGTAGCGAACAGCCTGGTCAAAGGCTCCCAGGGCATTGTAGGCGTTACCCATGTTACCATAGGCCCGGCCCTGAGCAGCGTAATCATTCAGCTCCTGAGCAATGGCCAGGTGTGTTTTGTGGAGTTTCAGTGCAGTCTCATAGTCCCCCTTCATCTGGTGAATGATGCCTGTGGATAGAGGAGAGAGAGCGAGAGGATGAAGTTAAAGACCCATTGAGGGGGAAAATGGAGTAAAATTCAAGTGCCTCGTCAGCTCTTCATGTACAAAACAAGTCATTCGGTTGTTAAAATATGCTCTCTGAGCCATCTGTTCTCTGCTTACACAACACACTCTCCCACAAAATTATGGTAATTAAAATGTAGTGCCATCAAACGGAGTTATTATAACACCAAAATAGAACCTTTTTGAGTGTCTAAGCTGTCTTTGATGATTGTGTCTTAGAGGGATTTTACCAAAATCAACAACTTTTCCACAGGGTTGGAAATAGTTATGAGAGAACAAGAAAGAAAGACAGAGGAAGTAAAAGTGGGGGAGACTGTGAAGTGCTGATGGAAAGCTCAGCAAACAACCTCAGAAAAATGAGATAAGTGTGGAGAAACAATAAATAATGGAGAACCCAGTGCATTGAGCGTATTATCTCTGATAAAATACCATCATCTGAAAAATAATAGCTATACCCCACAGCCAGGCAGCCATCTGGCAAACACCTCACACGCACATACATAGACACAACGTCCAAACAAATGTGCACCCACACCCACATACTCATACACACTGACAAATAAACAGCAGAGAGTAAAGACACATCACAGCATATCTACCAAGATCGCAACATCGCTCCTCCTTCCCTCTGAAATTCATTACTAATCTCTAGGTCTCTCTTTTAGTATTGTCACCCAGCTTTCAATGATAATAATTGCACCAATAATATTAAAGCTCAGTGAGAGAGGATGGCTGCAGGCTGGTGGGTGGAGACTGAGTAACTGGCTGCATTTCTTCATCCACCATACAGCCCGGCCATCATTGCTTTGCTGCATCAGCACAGAGACTAATAGGCTACTAGGACTGGGGTGCAGCCAGTGATGGGACACCAGGGATGGAAATGGTTCTGGAGCCAGAGTGGGTGGGAACCAGTGACGGAGAGGGGCTCTGTGGCTTGTGGTGAGTATGTGATGGTGCCGCCGGGATTAGTTACCGCCATGTGTGTTTTCCCATTTATTTCATCCGAAACCTGCCACATCGTGGGCCTGAACACAAGCTACATAAACAGTGGGACTGAAACTAAACAGACGGCTCAAACGACTGCAGATGTAATACAGTGATGTGGATATACATTCGAATGTTGGAGCAATTAAAAGCAGCACATCATGCCAATGAGAATGGAAAAAAAAAAGCTTTGGTGTATCTACACTATTAGCCACTGTGCTGCATATTGGTTTGACACATCACCAGGCAGGATAACATACATACATACTTTTCTAGGTTGATGGACATGGATGAAATTCATATGATCCAAGAGACCCATGAAATGTGCAACACCAATATTTCACTCTACATCAAGTCTAAATGAGGGGATTAGCTTCAAACTAAACCAGCCTGAACTGAGTGTCTGAAAATCAAACGCTGAAAAGAAACCCAACACTTTTTTCTGCAGACCGATTGATGGATTTTTTCTGAGAAAACATCATCAAAGATCCTCTGCCTACTTAATTCAGATCATGACTCAGCATGTAGCTGAGAATTATTGACAAATCAAACCCGATTTGTTGTTTGTTTGCTCGCTTGCGGCCTCAGGTTAAAGTGATACAACATGAACTGACCTTGTATTCATCAGGTCATTGCCCTAAGGAATTGGTATTCTGGGAGCATCACAGAGTAGAGCACAGACAGACGCAGTCACGCCAAATAATGCAGGAAGAATTTAGATTGTGACATGTGCAACTTCCATGTGGTTCTTTGGACTATGTACAGCACAAATAGAGTAAAAGTGTTATTTTCTCAAGCCAAAATAAATGAATGAGGCGAAGACGATGAGGTTTTTGGGTTTTAAGGTTCTACTGGCACAGAAGTTTTCTGGACAAACCTCTTAGCTCTGCCTTTCCTGTGGAGTCTTTCCTCGGGAGTGGAAGCATGTTAAGATTCACAGCAAGACTAGTTGGAGGAGCAATGACAGCTCTCGCCACAAAGTCACTCCCAAGGTTATGCTTTCCCCAACGGAGGCTGATCTTACTGAAGATATAATGCCCACTGATGTATTACTAGCAAACATGTTCCATGCTGCAGGCTAAAAATGGATCTGGTGCTCGGCAGAGGGGCAGGGGAGACAGCCAGGACAGAGGCTGGGATATATGGCTAGGTTTGAGGTTGGGTTTGGAAACTGCAGCCAAAATTGCCATAAGCCTTAGGCTATGCCTGGAGGCACACTTGAGGCAAGAAAATATTTTCTGTGCCCCCACCCATCTGGTAAGAGGATTATGGAACCCTCTGGGAATAGTATCCAGCAGGATAGTAAATAAGACCATACCAAACATGTCGGTAAATACTGCTGGAACACAAAAAGTAGGAGTTAGTGAGGGGGCGGGGGTGCGGGGTCAAGCTGGAGGGCCCATTATGGCATTTTGTTCAAATCAAACTGACCTCAACAAAGTCTCAGTCTTGGGATTCAATTTAACCTCTATCTTAAACAACACTGTAAGTCTGTGGTGCACACTAAATGCACTTTGCCAAAATCTATTAAATAATATGGCTCAATTATTCTATTCTTTTGCACACAGCTTGAGACCAAGACAGTGAAAAACCAGGAGAAAGCACACCCCACATCATTCAGATCCTTTTACACAGGGCCCTATCCATCCAGAGCCCTATCCATCCCCCCATAACAAAAGACATTAAAAGCATGGCAATCATGGCAATGTGTTGTCACTTTTCATTACACAGCTGGCTGTACATAGAGGGATATGCTGCAGTGATGACTTTGAGGGATGGTGTCGTGTTCTGAGTAAATCACTGTGTCATTCTTCCAGGAGCTATGGAGCTCCAGAGCGCTGCTGCCTACAGTCAGCTAAGAGGATTTTACCAACAATGGCGCTGCTGCCACTGGGCTGGAGTGATACTAGAAATAGAGTAGAGATGACCAGCGTGAGCCCGAGATAATGAGTTGGGTGTGTTCCTCATTTATATTTTAGAATGAGGTCAACATTATAATTTGCATTCACGTTTGAGAAGTTAAAAACCAGAGCAGGATGCTGGAATTGTGGGGATTGTGGACATTTTGATGCTAATTCGAGTCTCTACTGAAGGAGATTGATGTGTGTAAAATATCAAAATGGAGAGTGTCAATCTCTGAGGGAAATTCCAAAGAGGTTTGACAGTATTTACACAACACCGTATCCTAACAGAGCAGTAGTTCAGTGCCTCTGAATACCTTTCATAATTTCTAGATAATGCTGTTACTGTCACAAGTACTTACAAAACTGCTTGCACCAACCTTTGCTGAAAGGAATGAGTTGTGGGTTATTAATAATGGATACAATGTGTCTGACTGAGAGATCAATACTGTATCACACTATATTATGATGTTTTAGTGAATGGAAGTTGAAAGACTCCATTATTATATGCAAAGTGTCTTTACTGTATGTTGGTACAATATATAATAGTGTCTGTTAAAGATCTGTTGGGGGAAGCAGTGAGCTGAGGCAGACACTAGATCCTCCTGGGGTCTGCAGGAGCAGGGAAGGGGCGGAGCTGGGGGGGTCTGGGTTTAAGGTAACAAATCCTTACTCGCAGACATAGACATCCCCTACAGTCTGACTGACAGAGAGACAGGAAGAAGGGAGATTAAAAAAAAAAAAAAAAAAAAAAAAAAAAAAAAAAAAAAAAGAAAAAGAAGAAAAAGAAGCACAGAGTATGGATAGAGGGACAAATGCTGAGTGGGTGTTCCTCCAGCAGAAACACACACAGGCAAGAGTGCTGCACTTGTCCTCCTGCAGCACCAGCTGAGCAGCTTTCCTCTCTGCTCCAGCTGACCCCCTCGCCCCTCCTCCTTCAGCTCACTAAACCAACTGTTGCTGTACTGTCCACACGCATGACATCTGATCCCTCCTACCACTTCAACCAACAATGTTCAATGTCTCCACTCAACTTTTTCTTTTTCCTTTTTTTTTTCTTTTGCACGGCACAATCGCCTCTCCGTTTAGGAACAGATTACGTTTCATGCTGAATTTGCAGATGTGCAGAAAAAAGGACACAGTTGCTTAACGCAGTAGAATGCTACAGCTCTTTTGTTTCACTTAATAGTCCTGCAGTGAGGAGAATAATAACTGTATACAGTGAGCGAAACGTCAGTGTAAGCACAATGACCAGAGGAGCATGTTTTGCAGGGCCTCTCGTCCAGTTTCTGGCATGGTCCTCTGTCAGGAGATTGAAGGGGGCCGTGCTGGGGGAGGCAGGGAGCTTCTGCTGCTTTTCCAACAAACAGAAATTTGGGGCCAGGCTGCAAAGATCGGCTAGCCAGCAAAAATCTCTCTAGTAAGAGGGGCATCCAAATAATCCCACCACCACTTCACCTCTTTTCCAACTATTGTTCCCTGTGCCCGCTCTATCTCTTTTGCAGGCCTGCAAATATTTACTCAAGGTTTATTTACCCAGTCATTAACGGACAGTTAAAGATGTCACCGATCTCAGATAAATGCACGTTTTCTGTATTTGCTAGGCTCTTCCTCTGTCTTCCTCCTTACAGCGTTCCTTCATTCATCCTGTCTGGGCCATTAGGCTCGCTAAATTCCTCCGTAAATTCAGCACTCTCCTGCTCCCTTTCCTGGTCAGACTAATAATATATCTACACTCGCTGCCGCTCCCAAAGGCTTAGGTACAAAACTGAATAATCTCTATGCATCACGGCCCCAGGCAAGTCTGGTCCCTGTCTTTAGTTTGCTCCTGCTCTGGGCAGTCTGAAAACAGTATTGAAAAAGTGCTGTCAATGTTGTTGTTATAGTGATGACAATAATGCGCCAGTGGTTAAATCGTGTCATGATAGTGGTTATTATTCATATCTGCTAATTATCTGATTATCCTGCCTGTTTATATGCCATTCACTTAAAAGGCTATTTGAACATAATTCCTCTCATGATCAGATGCTCTCAGGCTCAGGCTCAGGATTAGGGGTGTTACTGTATTTCAGCATCACTGACAACAAATATAGCCGATTAAAAACACAAATCATTAAGCTTAATCCCCTGACGTGACATTGTTACTGTCAGACATGTAATAAAACGTGGTATACAGATGTCTGGACAAAGCAGATTTTCTCATCTGATTTTCTGGAATGTAGATTCCAGTGCTCATTCCCACATGACCTGTGGATGGAAAAAGCTGTAATTGCGAAAAGGGGCTTATCATAAAAGGTCTGAAACTAATTCAAGGCAGAAGTTATGACATGTATTTATTTTTTTTAAAGACCAGTGATGAGATGTGAATACAGAGCATCGCAGTGCATATTGTCTTGATTCTGCGTTGTTTTGTGAACTCTCTTCTTCCTGTTGTTTTCCTCTTTCTGTTGCTTTATTTCTGTGAACATCAGCAAGAAAGCCTTCCCTAGGGATGCTGGATAAAAAGAAGCGAGGAGGAAAAAGAAAATGCTTAATTAGGACTTCTACCTCCAGCACTTACAACTGATGGAGCCGACAATTCGAGTGACTTCTTTGAGACACATGGTCAAAACGAGGAGGTGTGAATCGAGCAAAACGTGAGCACAAGAAAGACTAAAAGGATAAAACACAAATGCTTCCAAACAAACTTATTTAAAGTCTCTTTGAAGTGAAATGCAAGGGAAAATAATACAATTTAGATTCTGTTTCATGAATAACAGAAATGTGAACTACATGGGAACCTACTGCTTCAGTCCTCTCTCAGATATTAAATATTGCTGACTAGGGGGTAAGTTAGCCAATTAATGAATAATAAATGGGGCTGGAATGCAACATTTTCATATCCTTTATAGGTCAGAGTGTGCTGTGCCAGGGCTGCTGTTACCGCTGGGCATCATGGTTAGATATTAAAGCATGGTGATCTCTATACAACTGTACCTCACAGCCATGTCAGCTGCTGCTCCACCCACACTACACACAACATTAACAACAAGCTGAGAGGGCATAATAAAAGTTTGTTCTTTCCTGTTTCTGCAACTTCTTCTTCCTATCTCTCGCCCAGTGGTTTTTTGCTTTCATCGCTGCTCGTTAATCTGCTGCTCGATCATTCTTCCCCTCTTTGTGTGCAGTGTAAAGGCAGCATTTTTTGATGTCTGAAACAACATCCTGTTAGTTTTAGCCCATATCTTCTTGTGCTAGGCGGCCTTGCGGGTGTTGATGACGGAATAACAACGCGCGCCCCACTGCCGCAAACAAAAACAACAACAACAACAACAACAACAACAATGGGGCAATTACAGACTGATGCTTCACAACCTCCACTTCATTCTCTGTTATCTTCATTATTCAGCTCCTCTTGAATCAGCTATTAAAGGTAATTAAGCGATTCATCAAGTCAGTTTCAATTACTGGGAGCTTGACAGCTGCAGATTACAATCAGTAGGGGTGAGGGGAGTAGATGGAGAGAGTGAGAGAGGGAGGCGTCAAAAAGTGAGAGAAAAGAGGAGAGAAAGAAAACAGACAAGAAGTACCAACAGAGCAGGCGGCGCTGAGATAGGCAGCGAGCCCCGCCTGGGTGTCAGGAGTTACTGCATCCACATGATGGGCCAGATTGTCCAGACCGTCTCCATGGAGCAACAGGCTCCATCGATACCACCCACTCATCGAGTTCCTGCTCTGTCACCAGCTGGAGGTCTTTGACACTGCATCAACTACACGCTATCTTTACTCTGTCATGGACGGGAAAACTGTAACGCTGCAACTGATAATGAATAAAAGCGCTTTTGCCGCCGTGATGGCAAGCATTCTGCAGATAGAAATAAATTTGCTGCCTCACACACAGTGTAGTGACCACTCCACATAAAGCTCTCATGTACTGTATCATCATAAAATGTTCTCACTAATTTATGACAACCAGTTGCCAACTCACTTTTCTAAAAATCAGGTGTGTGTTGGAGCTGAGAGCAACACAGGATGAGCGACCATTAGGCTGGTCAAAGGACGACTTCGATTTATGTTTGGCTGATTAACCCCACTCTCTGCCTGCACACTTTTACACATTAGGTTAAAGAATAATTCATCTGGGAGGAACTATTATGCCTCTTAGTTGTCCATTAGAGTCAGGTTTACTGCCATCTTGATGGCTGTCATAAGTCATCCAGCGTAGGTTATAACCGCTGGACTAAATACAGGAGAATTGGCCATACCATATATCTCATGGGGTCTTGAATATCCAGGGACACCTTTTTCCCCAAGGTTCCTTTTATCGTTACATTAGCAGGCACCACAAGGTTACATTGGTATTAATTTCATTTTAGTAGGGTTTGGCTGTAATAATTACATTTTAAGTTTCAATCAAGAGACCTGGTTGTATATTTAATCTCTCCCATCTCGTTTCTTTTATTTATCTTCACACCACTTCTCATCTCATGATCTGATTAAGTCCAAGTCAGTGTGAAGGTGAGAGCTGAGCAGATTAATGTGGAGACATATCCTGTGAAGAATTATACATTTTTATGGGGGTTTATTTACTCTCTGACTGTGAGCGTTACGTGCTGACATTCCATCACCGTACATACCTTCCTGGGCTCACGAATGACTGCTGGCTCTAACGTGCTCCTTCTTCTTCCCTGGGTCCCATGCTGAATCCCTGCACTCCACTACCTTATGCTTGGATAATGTACTGGGCACTGTTCACTGTAGGACATTATGCAACCCCTAACTACTGTATCTAAAAACAACTTTACATAAAATAGTGATAATACAGTAATATACTGCTGGCCTCTGCTTAAAAGTAACAAAACACTAAGGTCTTACTAACCATAAATATCTATGAAAATAACAATAAGTAAACAGCTCATTTAAATGAAGACAAACAAAAGAATGCAGCCAGCAGCAGCACAGTGGAAACACTTGCAGGAAATGGAAGCTTTTATACCACATCCCCAAAACAATGAGAGGTTAAGCAAGAATACATTTGGAGCATAATCAACCTAAGAACACACATAGAGCACCGTTATTAAATCGAGATATTCAGTCTCATTGTCTCATCTCACCTCCCTTCTTCTGTTTTATTGTAGCATGCTAAATCCATTGTCGCTAAAATAAAACAAATCCCACTTTGAAGCAAACAATGAGTTCACCTACTTCCAGTACGCAAGATTTCTTACTGTCTAACTGCCAGGTGTTTCCTTATCTCTGAGGATGTGCTAAGAAATAGATTTATCATATGTGCTCCTGGACACTAACCTTCATATTGTCCTAAACCACAAGGGTCAAAGAGGAATCTCAAAGGAAAACATACTGTACATCCACTACATACCGTGTATGCTATGAGTGGATTTCCGTCTGAGTTGGAGAGATGACACCCAGATCCGTGTAGGAGGGATTACAGTATTTTAGGTGATCTCACTAATTAAATGTGCAGAGAACACAAATATTTAAAATCAACCATGTGTCCTTCTGAGATTCACTCCAGTGATCAATACTCACACTTAAACAGAGACAGTATTGACTGATAGCATTCAACTAGCACACCGAGGCCACATTCAGACCAACAATAGAGGCCTCCAGCCAGACAGGGGCGTGTGTGCGTGTTTGCCACTACGCAAAGCGACACATCCATAGATCTAATGAATACGAGTGCACATTCCTGGTAGATTACTGAGTATTATGGACAGCATAATCCTACAGTTTATCTCTTTATTTTTGAGATAGATGATAAAATCATAAACCGCTGTGCAGTGTCTTGGTGTCTGAGAAACTCATGGACGAATTACTCAAACTCGACTTCTTCGATTTCCCCTGACTGGCAACTGAAGCAACACACCCACTCTAACACACTCTGTGTGTTTTCTGTTTTTGTTCTGAAACACACTCTCCTCATAATCCAACAATATTACATTATTTCCTACCATAGTAAAACATATTCTGGATTAAAATCTACAAACAACTAATAGTTATCATTTCCTCAAATTTGAGATAATGATAGTTATATATTATTATACAGCATACAGTATGCTAAATTTTACTATAGAGACCAGATAATCTATCAGGAACATATGGAACCTGTTGATGTCCAAGTTATTATCACTTAAAACAGCGAACCTGTCTTTTCTATTTTGCATACATACCCAGATTGGAGGAGGCCCTTCCCTCTGCGGCCCTGTCCTTCAAACCCTCAGCTATAGACAGCTGCTGTTCATGGTACTGCTTGGCCCTCTCCAAGTCCTGCATGCAGCGGGCAGCATGACCCAGTCCTGCGTAGGCTCTCATCTCGATGGACTTTTCCTCCAACTCTTGGGCAAGCTCCAGAACGTGAGTGTGGTAGGACATGGCCTTGTCAAAGTTACGGTGGTAGTGGTAGGCACTGCCCAGGTTACTATAGGCCCGAGCTTCTTCTCGTTTATTTTCCAGGGCCTTGGCAATTCCTAGGTGCTGCTCATGGCACTGGACAGCATTGTCAAAGTCTCCCATGGCGATGTAGACGGCCCCCATGTTTCCCAGCTCGCGAGCCTCAGACAGCTGATCCTTGGACTGCTTGGCCAGCAGGACGCACTGCTTGTGGCTGGCTAGGGCGTTTGGATAGTCCCCTATGGCTGTATATACATGGCCCAAGCTGCTCAGTGCCATTGAAGCAGCCTATGAATAGAGAGACAGAGAGAAAAATAGACAGCAAGTAAGAAAACAGCAAGGTATTAAAAAGAAAAAAAAAAAAAACTCAAATTCTCCCATTAATTATACCCACATTCCATCAACAGTGAGTAATTCTGTTGCCTTTGCATCAGAGATTTCCCACCCACACTTAAACGTCCCTTTAGCCAGAAGTACTGTACAGAAAATGGAAAAAAAAAAAAATTGGAAAAAAAAAAAAATCTGAATTCCCAAATCTCTTAGGAGGCTTACAGCTCAGAGACCAAACAACAAACAAAACCTGATTTGATTCTGTCTTTGCTAAGTAAGGAGGGGGGTAAAGTCTGATGCAGATCAACGCAGCAGCAGGCTTGCTTTAAAGCCATCAGTTTGCCCACTGCAATCACGCTTCGTGGCGTGCCACCACCAACGGAACAAAGACACCGCTAATCAGGAGGGGGAGGAGAGGGGTTTTTAGCTTCACACCGGAGCTGTGGGGGGCCAACAGGCAGGCAGACTGACTAACTGACTGACTGCAGGTAAGACCCCTCAAGCTTAAAACATAGAGAACAATATTCTGTGTATTCTCATCTGCTCTACCTTCCATATTCTCAAGCTGTCTCCACCTGTGAAAATAGAACTACAGAGCGCAACGTCTCAAACTGCAAAAGGAGAGGTTTCGCACTGAAATGGAGAGGTTTCACAAAATGCAGTCATGACCTCCTATGTGACACATTCACTGCAGGCTTATTAACTGTTTATACAGAGGGTAAACAGCTGGGAATTGGGGTCAGCTGTCTTTGTGTGAACAGATGTTCAATTAATCATGCAGGGCCAGCTAATAAAGCATCTCCTTCCTGAGGTCGCCACTCTGCCAAATCCTCCAGCAGAAGGGCGGGGGGGGGGGGGGGGGGGGGGGGGGGGGTTGGATGCAGGCCAGAAGAGAGGACAGACACCCTGACAGTGAAGGCCACAGTGCTGCCCATCTCGTGTAGCTTGGGGCCTCAGCAGCAGGGATGACCTGGGTCATCTTGGGGGTCAAGTCAAAAGTCAGCTACAGCAAAGAGACGAACGGCTCGATATGGTTTCCGCTGCAAGGTGTTCATGAAAGTAGTTTTCATAGCCATATGTTGCAAAACAAAAAAGTGTCCACTGACACTTGCATTCGGTTTTAGAGCTGCACCGTCTGGAAATTTACATAGATATCATTCCACAAATACATCAAGATGTAATTTGAAGAAATGCGCCCACAGAGAGCAGATATTTTTACTTTGCTCTAGCGCCACATAATGAAAGTATCGAGCCCTCTGAATAAATGAAAAGCAAAGCACGTTGTTGAGAACAAAAAAAAATCAATACAACAGAACGCTCCCACAGACGCTTTTAAAGACAAACACTTTTCTTTGAATCTCTCATACATTCTTTTTCTAAATGCACACATACACCTCACCAACCTATCTTTCCTTCATTTCACATAGCTGCTGATGCCTGGAACCAATTACCTGCTGACATAAGGACTTCCAGCAATTTGCTCAAGTTTAAAGACTCGACAAGGCATTATACGGGCCCAGGGAGGCAATTACCCTCCGTCACAACTGTTGCTGTTTCATGTTCCCAGATAGCCTATCTAGGGCTGCTCAATTACATGTGCCTTTTGAAGCTTTGCTCCATCTCCCCGACTCAAACTTCCACTTTTCTGAGCAGAAAACAGAGAGGATTCCTCATCCCTGTCTGTCTTGAACGGAGTGCAGTGGGAGACATGGGGAGAGAAAGCGAAAAGGGGGAGCGCAATCTTTCTCCAGCTGAGATGAGTTGCTCTTGTGATCAGTGTCCCTCTAAAGTGAGACTGCAACGCTGCATTTTCTCCACAGATGGAAGCCAAGATAGGTAGATAATGAGGAGCCAGCCTTGCCAGTTATAGAGGATGCACTGTGTTTGGCTCAGGGACAGACACTGGGACCATATCTCTCTCACTTCTGACTGCAGCCCTCTCTCACCGCTGCTCATTTTGACTCCCCAGCAGTATCGCAAAATAACATTCTGTCTGGGAGAGAAATAATTGCCCGAAATACATAATTTCTGCCAAATTGACTTCATTCTAATTTGATTCCATTTCTTTTCTGCACTTATCTTTCCTCACTCGCTGTTCTTACTCTCTCTCCCCCACTTCGCTCATTCCGTCTACAGAGTCAGATCTGATTGTGTTTACAGAGTCCAGCCCTTCTCCGGATGTGTGCTGATTTGATTAATCCTAACGCCGTCCTTTATAAACTGTTGATAAACTGCTGGCTCTAATCAGCAAACACATTTTACACCAAGGGTCTCCTAATGAAAGGTAAACTAGTTCTGCCTAGGAAAGAGGAGAAAAGGATAAGGGAGGCAAGCAGGGGAGGGCTGAGATGACATGTTAATCAGAAATGCTTGGCTCCAACAACATTATTCCATTTCTTTCCTCTGACAAGGACAGTGGTTTAGGGTTTCTTGCCGATTCTCCTCTATCAGCCTCCTCCACTAAGTATGTTTATATTCTGCAGCACATTAGAGAAATGGCTGCTTTCATAGCGCATGCTAGAGGTAATGTATTGTACTTAGCATAATTAGCCCCTTATGTCAGGCAGCAGAGCTGCTCTTGATGGCTGGGCTTGGTGGTATGTGAGTATTGTGACTCTGAGCCCCTGGTGTGTGTTTTATTTCTTTCCCTTGAACAGCAGCGTGCTGCCCACCACTTCACTGCTGCGTTGAGCTATGTGGTTATGTCTCGCCTTGCAGCTGTGTGAATATGCCTTTGAAAATCCTCCTTATTTCACTTTGGACCTATAAGCTCTGATATACTCCAAACAACTGAGGCTATCATCACAAACTGGCAGAGCTTATGGGACAAGTATGGTTGTCATGGAGATGTAAACAGTTGGATTATGGCCAACCAGATCTCATAGAAGAGACTACTGCTATTAATAAACACTGGTGTACAGTGTCTGATTGGACAGAAAAAGGCAAACGAAGATATAGGCAAGTTTACTTACAACTTGCTACTACCAATGATAGTAAGAGTAAGTAAATCTTAGGAAGATTTAATTTTCATGTTATACATAAGCAAACTCATTCTCTGCCCATCCTAGGAAAACTGAAGTGAGATTGTTCAAGAAAAATCAACACATCCAGTATATTCAATGACATTATTGGAGTTGAGAGAGAAAGAGAGCAATACTAGACAGGTGAGCATGAGAGAGAGAGAAAAAGGCTGGAATGTGTAAGGTGTTAAAGAGCCCACAGTTTGCCCTCTGTCCAAACTGCATGTCCTGCAGGGCGGCCACTACTTCAGTAAAGTGCTGTTAATGGGATTGTATGGAAGAGGAGAGGAGTCACTCCCTCTTGACAAGAGGGGATGAACAACAGGTTTGATTCTATTATAACAGAGGTGGGAATAACCCTGTCTTCCACTGTACTAATACAGATGTTAGGCTTTTAGCCTGGAAAACACATTGCTTGGATGCAATGCAGACACATGCACTGACTGCATCGACTAGAATAAAGAAATGTATAATGTCACATTTATATATGTAATACCTTAATTACGATGGTTAAAAACCCAAATATTCCATAAATTCACTTTAACATATTATAATTGAGACAAGAGAGGAAATTATAATCAACTGTTTCAGCACTAAGAAACACCTACACAGATAAAATACAATTTGTGTGTCCACAGAGTGTTTATTGAGTGTACACTGCTATGTGATGCCTGGGTTGAACATCAGAGAAACAAACAAGCCACTGTGATATCAATCACTTCAAAAAGATGACTCATGTGACTGAAAACACTCCAGCCCTCCATACAAACACTACACACACACACACACACACACACACACACCGATGTATTCCATTGCACACACAAAAAACAGCTGTCTAATTAAAAGGCGGTGCAGAGGGAAGGTGAAGAGGACCATGCACCAGTGTTTCCCTTAACGAGCTGGGCTCAGGCAGCAACAGGAGCTGGCTGGCAGGGAACAGAACCGCACACTGGAGGGAGCTGGGCGTGGGGTGCGGGGGGAGCGGGAGGAGGGAGGGGGGCAGATAAAAGGCTACGGGAGAGACTGTGTTTGAAGGATGAGAGAAGAGAACGCTGGAGACATCCCCAGGGCGAGAATGTCTTTAGATCTGGATTCACCTGCAGAGATGCATTTTGACAAAAAAGGAAACATCTCAACTGCAATAAACTCAGAGACGCAGCGGACCAGCGAGAGATGCTCTCAAAGAAGCCTGAATGATGCTTTCTAAAGGCGCATGTTCTTGTCCATGTGTGCATGTGCAAAAAAACATGTATGTGGGGGAGCGTAGAGGAGGCATGCTGGTGATGTCAGTGTGTGGAGGCTGGGGGCGGGGATGAATATGATAAAATATTCAGCTGGTTTTATGAGTGTATACTCCATCCTCTTTTCTGGCTCGGTGTTTGCACACAGATATGGATCCTATGGGAGCCACCATTAGATCGGCCAAATGACTGCCTCTCCGCCATATCAAAACCTTCTGTTTTTTGAGCAGGCAAATGCTGTGCTCTGCCAAGCGAGTGCAGGTACAGCTGTGCCTGATTGCTCTCTTTCATACACGCACACTCACGAGCATACATGAACACACTCCTGCACAAACACACACACACACACACACACACACACACAGAAGGATTCAGTAGTCCACTGTGGCTGATAAGCGCGGCACAGGCCAAGTTAGATTTAACTTTGGTTCGTCTGGAGCCAAATTACAGGCCCCCTTCTTTTTACCTTTCCAAGTTTTGAAATAATATTCATGAAACTTGTAACTCTGTTGTTTCCAGAATCACAAATCAATGCAAAACAGACTGTGTCCTCAACCTTACCTTATTTTGGAAAGGCCACTTATGAAAAAGGCTGTTTTTATTTGTTTCAGAAGAAAACAAACACAGATACCATTGGTTACCTGGCCGTTAACAAATTTCATTAATCAATCATCAGAGCTAATCTGATCTATTA